ACAGGAGAAACGTTCTGTCATTTTGCTCCCATAAAGACCATGGCCTAGAAAAGTCATTGGGGCAACTCTCCTGTGTCTCTGTGAGTCGGAACGGACTCGATGACACCCAGTCACCAAAGAACTCAAGGTTGCTCTGCTCATGCCCCGCGCCCCAGACTCTAATCTCTTTGCCAAATACTACAAACCATGTGGCTCGTTGGATGTTTTTCAGGACACCATTGAGATCACGGGAACATTCAAGCATCGCAAAGTGAACCTTGTGGAGGAGGGCTTCAACCCGACCGTCATCAAGGATTCTCTGTATTTCTTGGATGACCAAGCGAAAACGTATGTGCCTATGACTGAGGACATTTATAATGCCATAAACGGCAAAACTCTGAAACTCTGAACTGCCCCAGGAGGACAACTCATGATGTCCCGAGAGAGAAACCGAAGGGGCCTAGCACAACCACTTGATAGAATCCAACTTAAATTTGATTGAAGATTGTGAAGTACAATTTTTTTTGTAGGAAAATTAGGCCTACTGATTTTTTAATGACCCCTGAACCCTTGTGAGAGAAAAGAATTAGAATTATTTTTCAACACAGCCTACTGTTTGTGTTTTCCTGCTGAGCTTGTTTGGGGGGAGGGCGTTATTTTTTTTAAACACACAATAAAATAGATGACTACCAGCACATGAGCTGGGACTGTCTCTCATGTTCTTTCTTGGCTTTAAACGCTGTAACAACCACCGAGGCCCCAACAGCCTCACTATGAACCGTTCACAAGTCCCCTTCCCCTTGGTCACGGCATGCTAGGTACAAATGAGGGAGGGAGAGAGCCCGTCAAAATAGCAGCATTAGCATCCTCGAGGGAAGCCCATTGGGTTCCTTTTCAATGTTCTTTGAGCTTGGAGAACAAAACACACCCTAAAGGGGAAATAGCAGGACTAGATTCTGGATGGCATGAGGTTTCTCAAGGAAATTTTCATAGGAAAACCCTTTTTCCCCTCAAAAAATGAGCAGGTGCATTGTCATGATGAGAAGAAAATTACTCACCACCTTTCCTGGCCTTTTCCTCACCAGTGCAGTTTAAATTTTCGGAAAACTTTTCTTAAGAAGTCCCTGTGACCATC